AAGAGAAAAGCAAAGTGCCCTTCTCTCTGGCATGCTAACATTTATGTAAGAAAGAAGAAATCATATTCTATCTACTCATTTGTGCAAAAGAAACACAAGAAAGGTAAAGAAGAAATGAGTGAGTTTGGTTACTACTGCTGATAGGCGGAAGCCAGGGAAAAGGATGGAAGAAGGGGATAGCATTTGGGGAGAGATACTTCTCTGAGTATATATATTCTTTTTGAGTAATTTTGGCTTTTAGTGATGTGTGATGTTTTTTATATACTCAGAAGATATGAAACAAGTAAAACTGAGGGGTAGGGAGAGGAAATCTCTGTTATTTCTTTGGGAAAATAGAAAATTGTCCCCATCATCATGTTGATGGGAATAGTAAAGAAAGGACATAAGTAAAAGGCAAATTCCTAAAGCCTTTCTGACTTAAGGAATCTGTTACAAAGTGAAATTGAACTTTATACCACCTTGAGTTCCGTAGAGCCTCCACTCCCTGGCGATCTTTGAAAATAGAATAGACATACAGATGTCCCAGATAATTCCAGGAAAAGGCTGATAAGAGTGCTACCCTAGACTGAATATTCATTCCCCCTAAATTCATACATTGAAATCTAATTCTCAAGGGGATGGATTAGGTGGTGGGGTCTTTGGGGGGTGGTTAGGTCATGAGGGTGAAAACCTCAGCAGTGGGATTAGAGCCCTTAAAAAAGAAACCCCTGAGAGCTCCTTTGCTCTTTCCACCAAACCAAGACACAGCAAGAATATGGCCACCTATGACTGGGAAGTGGATCCTCACCAGACCCAGATCTATTGGCACCTTGATCTTGGTCTTCCCAGCTTCCAGAAGCATGACAAATAAATTTCTGTTGTTTAAAAGCCACCCAGTCTATGTTTGTGTGTGTGTGTGTCTGTGTGTGTTTTGTTGTTGTTTTTGTTTGTTTGTTTGTTTTGTAGTAGTTTGAACAGACCAAGACTCATGAATCCCCTTCTGGGGTTGTGGGAATTTATCCGGGCTTGTTCCAGGCAAGTAGTAAAGCAGGTGGTCTGTCTTTGAATCTTGCTTTCTTATTTCCTGTCTTCTCTTCCCTCCTTACACCTCTATGCTGCATTTTGTCCATTTGTCTCCATGCCTGATTATCCCTGATAAGGCAGTAAGTCAGAAATCTGAAGAATAATCTTCAAGAAGTCCTAATACAGAACATGTAAGTTTTCATGGTCTAAGCGCAGCCAGGTTCAGGACAGTGGTTTTTGTTGTTGCTTTTTGTTTTGTTTGTTTGTTTTTGAAATAGCTACACTCATTTCTAGGAAAGGATCTACAAATATGTGAACCCAGCATTTTATAACGTGTGCTAACACTGTATGTTCAAATTCCCACTGGTATAATTCAATACCAAGCTGGTTTGTGGCCTTGCAGAAAGCTTCCGAGTAAACTCGACTTTGCCTTTCCTACTCCAGAGAGCTGGAACAGGTGTCGTCGAGCTCTAGGAGGAAAAGATGTGGATCAGAGAAGACTGAGCAACCAGTTCTCAGGAAGGTTCCAAATGGATCATGGACATTCTGGCCAGATCCCAGTTCTCCCTAAATAAATGATATCATTTTTAGGTTAATTTGGACTCCTTTCCTGAGGCCCCAGAACCCATCTGGCTACCTTCTAAATAACCTTCCAGAGTGCGAGTCCTTCCAGAACATCTTTTAGTCTGCAGTAGGTCTCCTTGGCTGTCCCTTAACCTGCATTAATCAGCACTGGAGAAGAGAAGAGTCATTGTTCTTAACAAATATTCGCCCCATGGTAATTTCCCCAGTCATTTAATTCTTGTCTTCTATTTTTTAGCAATGACATCAGTCGGGTTAAATTTTGGTTTCTAATGAATCAATTCTATTCACATCGCCCTCTATTAAGTATGCCAAGCAGGTTTTATATGACAAATCTACTGCTTTTAATGAGATTAATAAGCTTATCCTGAGATCTTCAAAGATTTCTAGATAGTCAGCAGAGTGGGAAAGGCCTGTCTCATTTATTAGCTGTATATTTAAAGAAGGGATTTCAGAGAAGTCATTAAAGTAACATATGTCTTCCTTCTTCAAGATCATTTTAATTGTTTGTGTGCAAGTGCATATTACAAAAGAGATCTCTCCAGCCCTGAGCTCTGGAAAACCAGGAAGTATTACACAGACTGGTAACTGCAGCTCCCCAGAGCCCTGCCTTATTAGATCTGAGCCACGTGTTATGATAAATAAGTAATCACCTGAAGTGCGTATCTTGCTTCTGGCAAAGAGAATAATTCAGATGTGCGGCTTCGTAACGCCTACAGGAAAGAATGGAGGAGAAGAAAAAAGATTCCACATCTTGGCATGAAAATGGGAAAGGCCCCATTAACAACCAAGATTACAAATGAGAACAGGATATGGGGGCGACCTGACTCAGAGCTGGAGAGGAAAAACAAAAATCTGGAGATTTAAATACCAGTAGCTGGGTCTTAAGCCAAGCAAAAAGGAGGCGATGAGTGTACAGATGCCAGGAGCGTGGAGGAGCCAAGGGTTAGGAGCCTGGCCTCATACCGAAGTCCCTGCTTGTTTCTGAACCTCAGCCCTAGGGAACAAAATATTGTTTCTGGAATTCATCTACTTAGCGCTTGAGCTTTCTGGGAGGTAAAGTTGTGCATTGCAGGTGTATTTTGAGGCAAAAAAATAAAAAGATAAAGCAAAACTCCAAAACCCAATTACGTTGAGCCCTGAATTTAGAGTGGCTAATGCTATTTGCCTAACTGAAAATGTGCAGTCTTTATGGAAAAGGCCAACAACCCATGGAGATGAAGGGTGGTGGGTATCCTGTATAGTCTCCCCGATGGAAATGGGGGGGACTATGTTACCCACTTGGGTTTTGCCAATAGTGAATACAAGAAATTGCCCTGTCTAGGAAAATGTCTTTAAAAAAAAAACAAAAACCAAAAAACAAACCCTGCTATCGGGGACATTATCCAATGTCTTCAAACAAGGAAATCCTTGACAAATTCCCTTCAGAACCACACACTGGGGAAAGGCCTGTTCCTCATGACGAACTAAACTGCCTCCTACCATCCCACAAAGAATTCCGCAAGCAGCTGTTTTCTGCTTTTTCTGGGTTGGCTTACAGCTCAGAAAGTAGGTTTGATCTTTGTTACCATTCTTTTCAATTGGACTTTATCGTGATAATTACTTCTCACCTTTACCTTTGGATTCATTTTGGTTTTAAAACCTTTTCCACGATGTCAAATTTTTTTCCTGAAGTGGGTGGCATATCCAAAAGGTGTCATTCATTCAGAGATTCAAAATGTGCCTCCTGAGGCATGCGTTTCCAAGAAGCACTGCATTCCCTTGGCAGAATATTTGCTTCTTCCCTCCCCACTGTTTATTTCCTTGAAGTGAGAAAAGACGAGAAAGCAAAGATAGCAAATCAAGGGCGGAGGGTGTGCCTGGAAAATTCCCAGGAATAAACCACTGACAAAATATTGCCCCCGAAACAGATAGGTCCTATGAAGAATAATGATTTTCATATCCGAAGGCTCTTTTCTCTTGTCTAAATAGAGTTGGAAACTGGCTTACTCAGTTTTCCTCAATGCTCAGGCGACAGTCGACAAGTGTGCCCCGTACAGGTGCTGTCTTCATGGCTATCACAGGGAAATGGGGGCATATTTACCTGTAGTCCGAAAGGAGTGAAATTAACATGCAGAAGAGGACCTGTGAGATTTCCCTGTCCTGGTTGCTAACCACATCCCCAGATTTCTAGGACATCCATTAAGATCTTTGCATTTGTTTTACAATTGTCCATAGTTATTAACAAGGTTTTAAGAAATTAATTAGCTCGCAAGGTGGAAGATTACCCTTTAGGTAGAAATCCAAGGGTCTTGGGGCTTTCTCCCTTCAAATGAGTAATTAGTAACATTTTGTGTGTCTAGTTTGTAGAGGAAAGATCCGGAGCTTTCTAATTTTCTCCATGTGCTTTAAAGGCACAGTGCCAAATATTGACTGCAGTAGGGAGTAGGGACCAGTAAGCGTGTTGAATACAGGAGTTTTATAGATGGAAACTGAATGGAGCTTAGGACAGCAGGGAGACTACTGGTCTGGGAGCAGGGACACCTCTGTTTTATTCTGGCACCTCTGTTCTCTATCACAGTCGAGGGAAGAGGTGGCATGCTGCCTGCCCCGTGTCCCCCAGCCCAGCCTTCCCCGTTCCCTTCCTGGCGGAGGCCAATCCCACCAACTCCATCCCTGAGCCCCCCTTGGGCTTGACCTGGGGATGACAGGTCGAAAAGGGAGGGTGAATAGCTAGTTCTCCCACCTCAGCCCCTGCTTCTGCCTCATCTTTTCCTTTTTGCTCTTAACCCTGCCCATGCCTCTCTAAGTGGTCCCGTTCGAGTTTCTTCACTTGAGCCATCTGGGGTGGATTCCAATTCAGCCAGGGCTCTGACCGATACAGAGGGCAACCCCTTTAGCACCCTGGAAACGGATCTGGAGCAGTGGGGTTGAGTTCTGGACCTCTGCTGGGCTCACAGTTGAGTCCGGATTCTTTCCAAGAGACTGCTGGGTGAGGAGGGGAGCAGGGAAGGTGAAGTGGTGCCCACACGATTGGGAGCATGTGGCCTGCCACAGCAGAGTGGCCTGCCTCTGTATCTCAGTAGAAGTGTGAGATATGGACACCTCAAGTGGTCTTGAAGCCACTGCTCAGAGGCTTAGATGCGATGTAACCCACCAAGATGTTAACGCACCGGTGCACTTGGCAATAAAAGAGCTTTGCTAATGACTCCATTCCCCATTTTTTAAAAAATGTTTTTTGTTATTTTTTTTAAATAGCCATTTGATCAGAGAGTGAAGCGATCCTATGATGAGGCAGCCAACCCAGAGTACAGGCTCTGCTCTGTTGGCAGAACCGTCCCCAGGCCCTGGTGCTGAGCCAGAAGTGGACATAATTGTAGGAAGAAACTGGGGGGAAACGGAGAGGCCAGAGTGGGCAATGAATGACAGCCGCCGTCTTTCGGATTTAGATATTTTATATATATATTACATCCAAGTCTGACAGTCGTCGGTACCATTTCCCGGGGGCAGGCAGGTGTGTCCAAGGCAAGGTGGGGCGTTGGGGGGTGAGGGGTCTGGGGTCAGGGAAGCGGGCAGCCCAAGGGCGGGGCCGGGGCTGCGCTCACAGAAGCTGCAGGAGCTTTAGCGACTGTAGGAGAGCCCCCGGCTCGGCAGACGCCAGATACTGGCAGCACAGCCAGTCCTCCAGCTCCACGCCGCGCCTGCGGTCCACCGCCCTCTCGGCAAACTTCATCATCATCAGCGCGCGCTTCATGTCGATCCAGTTGTGCAGCGTGGCGCACAGCAGCTCCTCCGACGCGCCCGGCGGCTCCACCAGCTCCCGCCGCGGCCCCCACAGCAGGCACTGCAGCACCCGCTTGGCCTCGCCGATGCGGATGCGCTTGATGGGGTCGGCCTCCAGCAGCAGGTGCGCAAGCTGCTGCAGGCCTGGCGAGTAGAGGGACAGGGCGGGCAGCGGGGGCAGGTCTTCCTGCCGGTAGTCCTGCTCCCGCAGCTGCGCGCGCACCTCGAAGGGGTTGGGCTGGTGCAGCAGCTCGTAAATGAGGATGCCGGTCTGGAACTCGTCGAACTTGCGGTACTGGGAGGCAGACACGATCTCGGGCGCCAGCCGGGCCTGGCTCTTTTTCTGCTGCAGGTTGGCGCTGCCACCTGGCTTCTGCTTGGCCTTCAGGAAGTTGCTGATGATGAGCCGGGGCAGGCACTTCTCACGGGGCCCGTCCTGGCAGGCGGGGGCCTCCGAGAGGCTGGGAGTGCCACCGATGGGGGGAGAGGCAGCCGGGCAAGGGGAGGGAGAGGCAGCAGGGGAAGGGGTTGCGGCGGGGCCGGGGGCACTGGAGGTGGCCGCGGAGACAGGGGGCGTGGGGGTGGCCGTGGCGGGGCCAGGGGATGCCTGCGGGGAGCAATGCACCAGCAGCAGGTTCTCCAGGCACAGGTCCCGGTGGATGATGCCGTGCTCCTTCAGATGCTCCAGCCCGTTGCAGAGCTGCAGAAGCAGGAAGCACACGCGCCGCTCGTAAGCCTCGGGTTCCGACTGATGGCGGGTGGCCGAGTCCCGCACAAAGTCAGAGGCGGTCTGGTGGGGCACCTCTGGGGTGATGACCACCACGCAGTCCTGCTCCTGGGCAGGGGGGTGTGAGGGCGGTGCAGGCAGAGGGTCCTTGAGTGCATCCGGACTGGTGAGCATGCTGGAGGGCACCGAGGCAACAAAGTGGCCACAGTCCTGCTGGATGTTGAAATGCACGGGCACAGAAGGGCTGCAGTAGGAGGCTGTCTTGGGCTCAGGGGTTTTGCAGATCTGCAGGGAAAAGGCAAAGTCAGGTCAGGAGGGGACTCCATCATCCTGTTCAACAAATGGTGTTGGGACTGAAACCCTTATTCTGTACATGCAACGAACCACGATGACTTAGGCGTATGAGCTCAAAATGCGCATTTTCAAAGAAAACACAGGGATCTTTGAGACTCTGGGCTGGGCAAAGAGTTGTCAGATACCACCCCAAAAGCATGGTCCACAAAAGAAAGAAAGTAGATAATGATCAAAATTCTTCTTTTGTGCTTCTAGAGATACCATTAAGGAAAAGAAAAGAATAAGTCACAGGCTGGAGAAAGCACTTACAAAATATACAGCTGATAAATGATTTCCTTGGTAAAACTGAACAAAAAACTCTGACAACTCAATTAGTTGATAAACTACCCAATCAAAAGGGAGCAAAAGATATTAATAGGCATTTTACCAAAGACATATACAAATGGCCACAGGCATTCAGAAGATGCTCAGTATCAGTATTCATTAGGGAGATGCAAATCAAAACCACAGTGAGCTTCTAGTTGACGCCCGCTAGAACGTCTATAATAAGAATGACAGACAGTAACAAGTGTCTGTAAGGACATAGAGAAATGGGAGCCCTCATGCACTGATGGTGGAGTGGAAAATGGTGCTATCACTTTGGAACACAGTTTGGCAATCTCTTTAGAAGTTAAACATAGGGGCGCCTGGGTGGCTCAATCCGTTAAGTGGGTGACTCTTAATTTCAGCTCAGGATGTGATCTCAGTGTCCTGGGATCGAGCCCCAAGATGGGCTCTGTGCTCAGCAGGGAGTCTGCTTGCAATGCTTCCTCTCCCCTCTGCCCACCCTCCCCCGCACCCACCTCTTCCCCTGCTTGCTCATCCTCTCTCTAAACTAAATAAATCTTTTGAAAAAAAAGTTAAACATGAAATTCATATACAACCCAGCAGGAGAGGGGTTCCTCAGTAGGAAGACATCTGTCTGCTCACGGTGTGGCCTAGACAAGTTCTCAGGAAGCCAGACAGGACCATGCGAGGCTGTCAGCCTGACTCCCCATCCCTCGCACCCGATGGCAGCTACCTGACAGCGAGTATGTCTGACCACGGCGGTGCTCCCTTGTTAGGGAATCTCAGAGACAGAAGCAGGCCCCTTGAGGATGTGGCCCAGGTCCCTTGGGCTGCCCCGGTTTCTCTAGCCAGGTAAATATGCCAGGCCTACGAGCTGCCACAGCCTGCCGGGGCCAGCCGATTTTATTGGCCCTGCTATACGGAAGCCGCGCGCTATAGCCTCTGAGGCTGAGTCCCAGAGCCCAAAGAAAACAGAAAGCTCTCCAGGGCTAGGGATGCCAAAATGTCCAAGGCACCCTCGAAACTGAAGGTAGGAATAAACAAGCAGGTGATCTCGAGCTCCTCTGGGGAACCCCATGAGCGTCTCTCCCCTGCCTCTCAAACATTGTCCAATACTAATGACAGCGCCAGCCACCCGAGCATCTCGAGCAACGCTCATTCTCCTCTGGCTGCCACAACCGGAGGGTCTCGAGCCAGACATCACGGCCCTCCAGCAGGCCTCAATGTCCCTGTAATGACACGAAAGGGGCAGAAGATGGTCTGCGGTCCCCTCTCTCCAAAGGATACGCTGCAGCTCAGCCACGCTTTATGGCAAGGTGACGATCGGTGTGCAGGCTCCCAGAGAGAGGCCCCTCGCCTCTACCTGTAACTTATCGTCCTGCAGACGACCCAGGATAACCCCTTGGGCTGCTGCGTTGCCGCACACGAGGGATCACAGGAGTGTCTGTGAAGAGCCACCTGCTAAAGGAGGAGGGACATCTTCAGGAGTCCTGCTGCAAGCATCTTCTCCCAGAGACTTACTTGGACTGGGGCTGTACACACCTTCTCAGCGTAACAGAGTCCAGCCTCTGAGGAAACTTTTAAAAACGGTAATGGGGAGAGGGGAAGAAGGGAGGGGACACCCTCATGTAGTCCTCTCTCTCTCACAGAAGTAAAACGGAAATCAAATGGCAGCATGTTTTTCTCCCAGACACTGCTCCCTGTTACACGAACAGAAATGATTCTGGAACACATATCTGAGGGGCCCTGTTGCAGACTCTTCATTTTAGCCCACCCCACTGTATTTGGTTTTTTAAATGGAAGTCTTCTGAAACATTTTTAAGGGAAGGGAGGGGTGTACCTGGGTGGCTTAGTTGTGGAACATCTGCCGTCGGCTCAGGTCATGATGCCGGGGTCCCAGGATCGAGCCCCTTGTCCCTCTCCCTCTACCCCGCCCCACTGCTTGTTTTCTCTCTCTCTTCCTCTCAAATTTTTAAATTTTTAAAACTCTTCAAAAAAAAAAAAAAAAAAAACGAAAGGGAATTTACAGTTCTCAAAAAGTGGTCTCACATCTTGATCCCAACTACAGTGCACGGACCTGTCGAGGTCACTCTCCTGTGAGAGCTTCTCGGCCACCAGACAGCAGCCTCATGCTCGCATGTGTGAGGCCCTGTGCCCGCCAAGCATTTCTCACACAGTGTCTCCTTACATCTTAGACAACCTGAAGAGGAAAGAGGAGGCAGATGCTGCTTCGGAAGAGGAAACAGAGGTTCCGAGGGGTTACATGATTTGCTCAAGACTGTACAAGTGAGATGTGTTCCGGCGGTGGGAGTGAGAAAAACCTGGGCTCACCTCCGAGCTCTGCAAACACTGGCAGTGATTCAAGTAGCCACAAACACCATACGAGCCAACACCGACCCAGTGCTCTGAAGCGAAACGGAAGGCAAAGTTCTGACAAGCGTCTGGTCACAGGATTTTTGCCAACTCGCCAGTACGGAACCTCATTTTGTGGGTCTTTCTCTTTAGCAGCTGGTAGTGCAGATTTGCTAACCAAGAACTCACGGCAAACAGCATCTAACTCAGTCTCAAACGAAGCTTATCTAACACTTTCCCAGGGCCCACACCACAGCCCTCTGGCACCCGGGAACCCCAGACAGGACTGCAGCGCCTAGCTTGGTCATTTTCAACAGTGAAATCATCAACCTAAAACACAGACGTGGGAGGAACGAGGCTATCGAGAGACCACAGCAAGGACCCCTAGTTAACAGGTGAGCACTGAGACAGGAAGCCAGGGCCTTGCCTTGTCATACCCGGGCCGGGAATTCTTCCATTGGGTCACTCAAATCTCCCCCTACTCTGCGCGTGCAGCAACCACAGAAAAGGGTTTGGGGTTACAAATAAATTATAGAGGGTGGATTCAAAAATACAGAATCCACAAGTAATGAGGACCGACCTGGTGTGTCTCAGTCCAGTTTCTCCTCTGCAATCAGGGCCGTGATAGGTCCCTTCTCCCCGGGGCCACCGTGAGCGGTCCATGACACAAGGCAGGTGTGGCTCCCAGCACAGTGCCTGGCCCTCGGTCAGCACTCACTGGAAAGGGTTGCCATGGTGATTGCTCTGCAGGTCTGGCTGGAGCCACGTGGTGAGGCAACCCAGAGCTGGCTGGGGGGTTACTGTACAAACCTGGAGGGTGCAGCTGGCTAGGGCCTGGGAACTGTTTCCAAGGAGCCCTTTTCTCAAGGCTATCAAAGGCAGGGGCCCAGCAAACACGCGGACAGCTTGCACAGACATGTAAATGAAGGAGCAGAGTAAATGGCAACGGAGCTGGATGCGTTTCAAAATCAGCGAGCTAGTCCTCTGCTAGGACCATTGGCTTCCTCGCTGCGCGCATCGGCGACTCAGCACAGTGCAAAGGTGGGGGGGACCTGGGTGGGCGCCCCCTGAGATGGTTTTCACAGCACTGCATGGTGGGGGTGGGTAGAGGAAGGGGCGCGGGGCCAGAGAGGCTTTCTCTCCACCCTCCGCCCCCTCCACCTCATCTTCAGGGAGTTTATGCTTGGGTTTTGGTGCAAGACCACACAAACCTTTGGTTCAGCTCCAATTTCAAATGTTCTGCTGAGCCAAGTCTCACTTTTAACTTCAGAGCCACAGCCTCATTCGCGGTTAAAAATCTGGGCGAAGTCCCGTTTGTTAAATAAAGAAGGCCCAGCTGGCTTAACACAGGTCCCTAATTACCGAACCGGAGTTGGAGCTGACTGAGGAATAAAGCAGCTCCAGAAACTCGCACACAGCTGATGATTTTTTTTTTTCTTTTTCCCCTACCGCATATTCCCGGAGCAGGGCTCGGAGAGCTGGCTTTAATCTCCTGGCTGCTGCAGGGCGCGGAGCCCATAAACAGGGGGCCCGGCGTCTCGTGGGAGCAGGTGCGAGCCTGCTTTTGCTCATGGGGACTCGGCACCAGGCTCCTGCTTCCCAGCCGCAGACGAAGTGAGCTGCGGACGGGGAGGCAGCGGCACGGGAGGGGGCACGCTCCGGCCCACGGCGTCCAGATGACTGAGTTCCGTCTAGACTGCGGCGTTAATGAAGTGGAACAGCTGCACGTGGGAAAGGACGTTCCAAAAGCCCCCACCCCACAATTACCCAGCCCGGCATGCTTGCAAATTGATGCCGTTGTTCCCTAGACTCTGAATATTTGAAGCTGTTCTCCGGATTTCCTTCTGGTACATGACCGAGGTAGTCCTTGAGCTGCCGAGACTCTGGCAAAGTCAGATCAGACCCCCGGGGACTGCCTTCCTTAGAGGGCGGGGGCTATCTCCTGTCTTCTTATGGCTTACATTTCTAATGAAATAAGGAGGAAGGCTTGTTTTTCACCTCCTCTGGGAAAGCTGGGTGTTATGCATTGTCCTTCAGAGAACGGGGCTAACTGCATTACTATAGGAGGGCCTAGATATCCCAGCGCACGCGACAAGCTCTCAGAAATATAAAAACGGGGGCTCCTGGGTGACTCAGTGGGTTAAGCCTCTGCCTTCAGCTCAGGTCATGATCTCAGGGTCCTGGGATTGAGCCCCGCATCGGGGAGGGTGGGGGGGGGGGTCCTGCTCAGCAGCGAGCCTGCTTCCCCTTCTCTCTCTCTGCCTGCCTCTCTGTCTGCTTGTGATCTCTGCTAAATAAATAAATAAAATCTTTTTTTTTTTTTTTTTTTTTAAAGAAAGAAAGAAATATAAAAACCATGGTCCACCTGGGTGGCTCAGTCAGTGAAGCGTCTGCCTTCGGTTCGGGTTGAACCCAGGGTCCTGGGATCGAGTCCCGCATCGGGCTTTCTGCTCAGCAGGGAGCCTGCTTCTCCCTCTCCCTTTCCTTGCTGCTCCCCCTGCTTGCGCTCTCTTTCTCCTTCCCAACAGCCCTGATCCGGTGGCAAAGATTCAAGAGCTGCGTTACCTTGGGCTAGTCTCTTAACTTCTCAGAACTTCCTTTTTCTTAACTGACAGGATGGTAGCAGAGGTGTTGCAGGCAAAACAAAGTACCATTCGCAGCCATCTCAGCAGCTGGCTAGCTGTGGGCAGATTACTTAATCATTTCGTGCCTCCCATCCCTCATCTGTAAAGCCTATTTGCATTGGGACACTGTGCGGTCATGGAGTGAATACACCCGAGAGGCTTGTTGCTGAGCGAATGCTTAATCGATACAATTACTCTTATTGCTCAAGATGGTGCTCAGGCCTGCTCTCTCCAGCTCCAACACATGCAGAACAGTATCTTTCGTGGCCGTCTCCCTTCCTGAATTACAAGGTCCAGAGGAACCTTATGTTCACCTCTGTCTACTCAGACCTTTACAAAACACGTGGCACACGACTGGCACTCCGTAAAAATCTGATGATTAAGTGAGTGCAATGAACTCTCTGCCGCCTTAAAAAGACAACTTGCCTCCCGAATCCAACTAGACCACATGGGCTCCCTCCCAAGCGCAGAGGAGGAATGTCACGTTCACACTACAAATCTTCCCACACAGGGCCCCGGGCCGAGCTGAGCGAGAAATCAGCGAGCGCTCAGTGCTAGCAAGAACTCTGGCTGTGAGCCTGCGTCGGCGGCCTGGACTGTGAGAGGACTTGCCCGAGCTGCAGCCCTGTCGCAGCCCTGTCGCAGCCGGGGCCAGATGCCTGCAGTGCAGAATGGAAGAACGGGGGTGGGTTGGTACCTACTTTCACAGCATAGGTGCTGCCAGGGTCCTCAGAGCAGGTGGCACAGTAGTAGATGGCATCCCCCGAGTCACAACAGGGCTTGTTACAGGTCAGTTTGAAGAGCGACCAGTTATTCTCGTTGAAGTGCAGCTCCTTTTTCTGGCCGCCCATGAAGAGGTCCTCGCACTTGGCTGCAAGGCGGACCAGGGACTGGGCGTAGAGCCCCCCGAGCTTGGCATAGGTGCCCTCCTTGCTGCTGATGCTGCTCAGCAGGCTGTGGAAGTGGAGCTGCGCGCTGCTGGTAGACGCCTGGCTGGACACGCTCAGCTGGGAGGAGGAGGCCGAGGGGACCCCTCTGCACCGGAGGCTGGGGCTCCCGCAGCGGCTCTTGCTACCCGCCAGCCCTGGCGCTGGCACCCAGTGGCCGTTGCTTCTGAATGTTTTCTCCAGGGGCTCAGAAGAGGAGAAGATTGGATGATGGCGGATCCCAGGGCTTGAGGAGTAGCTGAAGTGGGGATCTTCGTGGGCACAGACATTGGTTTCTGAGTGGCTGAGGTTCAGCTTGGGACTTGCCATTCTTGGCTTGGGGGACCCTTGGGTCCAGAAGAAGCCATCAGGGGAAGAGGCGGCCCGGCTCACTAACTTCTTCTGGGGGAGAGGCGGAGGCTGGAGGGGGCCGCTGGGGGACACATCCTCCGTGGAGCCTGAAGGGAAGGGAACAGGAGCAAAGAGCTTCTTCCCACTGCTGGTGGGTGAGTGCGCTGGCTCAGACGAAGGGCCTGAAACAGAGAAACGGCAACAATCAGGCTAGAGGCCAATGACACTCAGTTAGGGGGCCCTGCAGTCAAAGCAATTTATTTCATTTGTATCTATTTCTTAGAGACAACAGATGCACAATGAACAAAATTCACAAGGCAAGAAAGGTATACAGTGCCAGTGAAGTCTTCCTCCTCACCCGTCCCTTAGCACCCAGGCTCCCTCATCAGAGGAAACCACTGCTGGCAATTTCCAGGGATCCTTCCGGAGATCTGCCAAATGACCCAAACAAATGCATAGCACACATTTACTCAAGAAGGTATTTCACACCAGATGTACAGATCTACCCTAATTCTTTTTAACAGTGACCCATAATATATCATCCTATGTAAGTATCATAATTTAGCTAACCGATCCCCTCATAATGGACACTTAGGTTGTTTCCAACATTTTGCAAGCAATAATGACAACAGCAAACCTTAATGCTTGCTTTGAATGGATTTTTTTAAAAAGTCGGGTTAATAGAGGGTAAATTTACCTACAGCAAAATTCTCCCTTTTTGGTGTGTACTTCTACGAGTTTTGACAAACACCCGGGTGCCCTGGGGGGCAGGGTGGACCCAGAAATATCTTAGAAGGTGGAGGTACATGACTTTATAAATGATGAAACAGATCTCAAGGGAAAGTGAGTCTTTCCTAGACCCCCAGTTCCCAGAGTGGGGCACACAGGATGATGGGGGGCAGGGTGGGGGACTCCATCACGGCCTCAGCCCACCCCCAGAGCATGGGAATGTTCAGAAGCATCACAGACGGGGAGCTAGAGGGCCAGTCTAGACAGGACGAAAACTGGACTTCACTCTTCATATCAGCGTAGACAATGGAGTTTTCCCAATGAAACAAGAGTTCAGGTAAAAATATGCAGGAAAAGGGGCGCCTGGGTGGCTCAGTGGGTTAAAGCCTCTGCCTTCGGCTCAGGTCATGATCCCAGGGTCCTGGGATCGAGCCCCGCATCGGGCTCTCTGCTCCGCGGAGGGCCTGCTTCCTCCCCTCTCTCTGCCTGCCTCCCTGCCTGCTTGTGTTCTCTCTCTCTGTCAAATGAATAAATAAAATCTTTAAAAAAAAAAATATGCAGGAAAAAAGGCATCGCCACTGGGCACGGAAAGGGGCAAACTGAAATAGTCCTCATTTCCTTCACTCTCAGAACCGACTGGAGGATGTCCCCACTCTTCTGATAGCAGCTTTGAGGGCAGTAACAGAAGCACTCACTGTATTCACAGGTTGTAAAATGCCTCCCAGGATCCCGAAGGTTAAAATGTGGGAGCAATATGGGTCTTACATTCAAGGACACAGCATGGGGACATGCGCCCCTGCTGGAGTTCCCCAAGCCATGTCATCTTCAGGGCAGGGCACGGGGTGTCCCTCTGCACCTCTCCCCACCTCAGCAGCATGACCGGTTCGCAAGAGCTGCGACAAACACATGGGCCCTGGGTGTGCAGGGAAAGGCCCCCAAGGAAGCAAACTAGGAGCTCTGTGTCGACACGCACAATCTTTCCACGGCTGCTCCCGCAGTGTCAACAACTTTCTCTGCCCATGCTGAGTCCCCCTCTGCTTTCTCCAACCAAAGTGGGGACAGAAGGGGCCCCGAGGGACACGCACAGGCACCAGGCCCTTTCGATCAACACGGGGTCTCCTTATCAGGACACTCCATAGGGAAGAGGGTCCCTCTCGGGAGCAAGGGGCACACGCACATCCTTAGGGCTCCCCTGCCCCTGGGCAGCGCAGGCACTGACACTGATGCCCTGGCTTCGCCAATGACAGCACAGTCAGGGAGCCAGCAGTGGGGGGCCTCCTGTCTGGGACAACCCCAGATGCAAAGCTCACCTCAGGGTAAGGTAGATGCAGGCAGCTTGATGAACACAGGAGCTAGGAACCAACAGGCTCATGGGGAGAGAAGCCCACACAGCACAGCAAGGCCATCAGGCTCCACACCAGCACCTTCCCTGGCTCTGCCGTCTCTCCTCCCAGACCCCACGGAAAGCACAGCGCTTCTTACGCTCCCGCGCCCGCGCAAGGCAAGCACTCGTGCAGCGCAGTGGCTCAGTCAAGATCACAGTCAGTTTTCCTTCCCATCTCACCCTGCGTTGCTAATGACAGGTGGGGCCCCCGGCCAGCAAGGCTGCGTGACTGACTTATACCCTTGCGGGAGGCCAGGTTGGTGATAAAGCAAGCAGCAGTGACACACGGTCAGGCCAGTCAAGTCCACACACCCATGTACCGCCCCCCACAGCCAGAAGCGGGGCAAGCGAGAGCCGGGCAACCCGAGGACTGGAGACCCTGAGCGCAGTTGATCTCAGCAGGTTCTGAATCCCTGGGTTCTGTGTGTCCCCTACCCCACACTCTCCAGGAAGGGACATTTCTCCTCTCAAGGCTGCAGGCAGCAGTGGGGGCAGCAGAAGGCCAGGGCGGTCCACGCACTTCCTCCGTCTAGCAGAGGCCGAGAGAGCCGGGGGAGGATCCCTCGCTAGCTCCTGGGCTGAAGAATGGAAGAGCAAGACCTCTTACATATGTGGCTCTCAAAGGACACATATGGCCTTAGCCATCAGGTTCCCAGGTGATGAGCAGGAGGGCAGCCAGGAGGAAAGCAAGCCCATCTTCTGCCCTTTCACAGCAGAATGGGTCTCAGTGTCAGATTCTCCCATTTGTTATCAACAGACGCAGGGGTAGGGGGATGTGGGGAGGCAGGGAGCATCTGATCAGAGTCTCTGGTCAATGCTTGATTCAGTGTCTCCAGGGACAGGGACAGCCTGCCTATGGAGAGGACTCCTTCTGGTCCCCAGTCCTGCTGGCCGGGATGTGTCTGACAAATCAACTTCTGGGCTCACTGCCTCTTTAAGCCCTGTGCTATTTCCCCATCCTTGCCTCCCTGTACAGCTCTCCGTGACACCCACATCACCACCTTTTCTGCCTCGACTGCGCTCTGAGGGCGGACAGCAGGACCAGCCCCAGACTCGCCGTTGCCCTGACCCGACTGAGTTCCCTCATTTAAAAACTGACCGAATGGCATCACGGTGGAGGTCCCTTCCAGCAGGGAATAGTCTATAATTTTGGCCACTTGCTCCATTTTCAACCCCTCCCAACAAGCGTTTTGTCTCAAAGCTGCCCTGGAAATAAAATACCGCTAGACAGAGGGCTCTCTCCCTTCCGTGGTTTCTCTATCTCTAGCTCCCTCAGCTGCCCCTGGGGTCAACTTTTCAATCTGTAGGGATAGCAGGAATAGTAATAAAACAAAATAAAATAAAATCTGTAACACTTCTTATTCCCTAGATTACCAAAGAGAATCGAGAGGTTCTGCTCCCACACCAGAAATAACTTGTGTGTTCAGGCAGTGGGAAGGAAGTGATTTTCTCCCTTACCCCCTGGGTGTTCCCTTGCTCTCCTGTGTGGCTTGGATCAGATCTATAGGTAAATCTGGAAGGAGGACTGGGTATTAGGTGGAGAACAGTGCATTTTTCTTTGGTTCTTAGAGGCTATGTGTCTGTCACCCAACAAAGCGTGTACTAGCGGATGGCACTGCCTCTGAGTGACCCCCAACCACACACGTCCCCAGCAGGGCAGGGCTGCCGTCACCCAAACCTCATCCAGGGAAGTGAGGATTACCCGAAATGTGCACCTCACCCATATAATTGGGGATTTTGTACACATATGGTGATTTTGAGGTTAAAAAAAAAATTGCCTAATTCTGTAACAGGCACAACCACCTTCCAACAAGAGGCATCCTTCTTAAGGTCTTTTCGTTTTTCTTCTTTTCTTTCTCTTTCTTCTTTCTTTTCTTTCCCTCCCCCTCCCTCTTTCTTTCTTCCTTCCTTCCTTTCTTCTTCCTTCCCTTCCCTTCCTTCCGGTTTCTTGAAGTTTTCCTCTAGATTTGGAACCACAACTAGTGAGAAGCCCATCCTTCACTCTGAGAGCCCCGGGCACCCAGGTCCACATAACAGCTCAGCTGGTGGTATCCTGGGGCTACTATGAAAGAGACGTCAACGTGCGGCCCTTCTCGACGAAACTGCAACTCCTCCACCATGAAACAAGCAGTACCCATTTGCTACCGGGCCAGAGGGCACCCCTAAAGACCCACTCTGATTCCACCAGTTTCTTCAGTCTCTCACCCTCCTCATGAACGTGGCTGTAGGCAACAGAGCAGCTACATTCTTATTGCAGCAGACCCTTGAGCAACATGGGGTCAGAATGAATGGGTCCACTTATGTGTTTTCTTTTTTTTAATAAATACAGTACTGTACTGTACATGTATTTTCTTTTCCTGATGACTTTCCTTTCTCCAGCTTCCTGTACTGTAAGAATACAGTATATAATACCTACGGCATACAACATACGTGTGAGTTGACTCTTCACGTTATCAGGCTTCTGGTCAACAGTAGGCTTATTACTAGTTAACATTTCTGGGGAGGCAGAAGTTATATGTGGATTTTTGACTGTGCGGGGGTTGGTGTTATAACCCCTATGTTTTGCCAGGGTCCACCCACTGTATTTGCAACAGCTGCCACACTCTGCATTCAGGAGAGCCAGAAAAAAGGGGATAGATATGCCTTGACACCTAAAATAGCTACAGAAATCACAGGCAAAACACTGGTTCAGGAAAATGTGACTAAAAAAAAAAAAAAAAAAAACTCAACCCTAAACTCCTGAAAAAACTTTGGCCAAAGCCCATATTCTCAGGACTCAGCTTCAACAGCAATGAGAAGAATTCAAATATATCCTGGTTTTATGCTGGTGCTAGATCACCCTGTTTCCAAATTCTGGCTTACGGTGAAGAGTGTAAAAAAAGGTGAAAATGGAAAATACTTTTCTGGGAAGTTTGCCTTCATCATAGTTACATCACCGGTAGGTTTTGAAATGACTTTTCATACTAATTGGGCCAGAGAGCTCCAAAAGTTCTTCTTCCCATTTCTAACTCTGAGTATAAAGCCAGTAGCCAACTATAGAGTAGAACATGACTGTATCTCTATAAGGTGTGCATTTCAGGGAAGAAAAAAGTGTTTCTGGTGGAAAAGCTACATATCACATATGGGACACCGGGTGGGATCCTAAAAAGACCAAGGGGAAGGAATACGAGTTTGCTGCCATTGTATTTAGAAAGCAGAGAAGAAATCAGGATTTTAGTGGTTGGGATAAACAGCTTAAAGCCAAGGCAGAAAGGCAGGCCAGAAGTTCAAACGTAGTACTGGGATGTTTTCTTTTATTATAGAGTCCTCTCTTCTTGCTGGGTTTTAATAGGTACCTTCATTGTTTTCTTCAGCCAAAATGAGAGGCAGGCTTAAGGAGGAAGTGGTCAGTCCAGTTTTGAGCTGTGTGAATGAGCCCGTCTGTCTCCCTCGGTGCATAGCTCTGCCTTCTGACAGCAGCTGCCCAGGACAAATGTGGCGGCCGAGGGCAGAGTCAGGGCCAGGAGCACCCAAGCTCCAAATTCTTAGCTTTTGGGTCTGGCTATTCTCCAATTGCAGGTAAGGTAAAGCAAATGGAATTTTCTTTTATTTGAAAAACCTGGGAGTGTTCCATGGATCATTTTTTTTTTTTTTTAAATGAGGATATGGACTGTTCAGCTGGAAATGGCTGTAGAGATTTACCCATTCGTTCAATGTTTCCTGAGCACCTACTAAATGCAAGGCACAGGGCAAAAAGCAGATGGATCAAACCTCTCCTACGGCCTGTGGCCTCATTCAGAGAAAGCCATCTATGCGGGCCCCTTGCCCATGGCACACAGAAATGGCGCTCTTGATGGTTTCTACTAAACCCTCTCTTCCCAGCCCTTGATACATGAAGTGGGTGGCAGAGGGAATGTTCTAGCCTCACATGTAGCTTTTCCTCCAGGGAAAAATTATGCAAACTCTTCAGTCACATAATCAGAAAGGCTCAACTCTAAATGTTAAAAAAAAAAGCAGTCAAGTATCCCTTCAAAAAGAATGCTTGCTTTCTCAAGAAGGTAAACGTGGTCTGAAAATGGAAGCATGTTATTAACATTTTACAACTGGCAGGGAGATGTGGCATTTGTGAGGAGTCTCTCCAGAACACTTAATCATCCCAAGAAACAATAATCAAGACGTGAATGCAATTTACATGCAAAAGAGGAGGTCTCAGTTTGGAAACAGGCTCATGGCAAACATCCCATGCCCACCGCCCCAGTGCGGCCCTGGACTCCTGTGCTCCCCATCGCCTGTGAGAACACAGTATCATTTAGGGGTCTTCTTCCAAACTAACAGTAAAACTAACAATTAGTTTGAAGCACTTTCCCATGCTGTTGATGGAAGTGTAAATTGACATTTTATAGGAAAACTTGGGAATGTCTATTTAAAATGCGTCTGTTTTGACATATCGATTCCACTTCTAAGAATTTATCTTACAGATATGCTCACCAAATTATCTTAAGGTGTGTCACAGGATCTTACCGGAGACTGGTAATGAAGATCACCTAACCATGCATTGTTTAAGAGAGGGGTTTAACCACTTTGCACAATGACAAAATACGCAGCATTAACAAAAATGAGATTCTGATTCGAATGAGATTCAAATCAGAGGTTCTGATTTGAAAGACTTCAAGATGTATTAAGTGTAAGAATGTGTCCCATTGAGGTTTATGACATTTTAAATACGGATAAAAGGGGAGACTGCATGGCTCAGTCAGTTAAGTGTCTGCCTTCGGCTCAGCTCATGATCCCAGGGTCCTGGGATGCAGCCCCATATCCAGCTCTATGCTCGGGAGGCAGCCTGCTTCTCCCTCTGCCTCTGCCTGCCTCTCCCCCTGCTTGTGCTCTCTCTCTGTGAATAAATAAAATCTTTTTAAAAATTAAAAAAAATAAATATGGGTAAGAATTTCTGATAAGATATAGAAAAATATCCTCAAAATTTCAAAGGTGGGAGCTCATTTAGAGGGTATCTGATGACTCTGACTTTTCCTGTCATATCTTTCCCCATCAAGTGAATTGTTATTCAGAGACACGTACTGACTTTACTGAAGTGATAAAATACATTTTAAAATTCAGTTTAAAGGGAATAGTTTAAGCTAAGGTAATGCTTCACTTTGGCGATATTGTAAGGGCTCAGGCCACAGACATTCTTAAAAATGACTATCTCTTCCTTTGGGATAGCTTCTTTCCCCTTCACTAATCAATCTCCCAGAACAGATCCCATGACTCAGTGTGTCTCCACAGGGGTGGGGGATGAGGTGGGCCTCACCGTGTTAGAGCAAAACACCAAATGCAATCTATTAGACCAAACCCGCCAATTTAGGATCAAGCGCTCTGAGAGCCTGTTTGACAGTCAGAACACACTATTTTCAGCTAGGGAGTTGGAGAGGCCTTTTTCAGGGCCGCCTTTTCTTCTTACGGAGTCTCAGGTAACAGCCCGAGTAGAGGAGCAAACGCTCAGTGAAGGTCAGGCTGTCACTCCCGACCGATGTCTGATCTGTGCGGACTGACTGTCTCTCCTCTTGACAGATCCGCCCACCCCTTCCCGCCCACTTCCTGGCTTGATTCTTTATAGCGTTCACTGTCATCTGACACACTGGCTATTTTACTTTAGCCCTTTATCTTTCTCCTTGTCCATCTCTCCCCACTGGAATCGGAGAGAAGGAACTGGGCCTTTTTTTGTCACTGCTCTACGTTCAACATCTAAAATCATATCCAGCGCGAGGTCTGGATTCTACAAGTATCTATCAAGTCAATGACTGAACTAATGCATACATTTTAAAAATCCTCTTGGGAGGAGGGTGTCTGGTGGCTCAGTGGGTTCCATGGCTACCTTCAGCTCAGGTCATGATCCCGGAGAACTGGGATAGAGCCCTGCGTTGGGCTCCCTGCTCAGCGGGGAGCGGGCTTGTCCCTTTCCCTCTGCCCCTCCACCCTGCTTGTGTGCACTCTCTCTTAAATAAATAAATAAAATCTTAAACAAAACCCAAAAACCTTTGGCGTAACTACTGAGGAAAAGAAGCTGACTACCATGAGGATATTTCATTAACCTGGCTATATTTCTGGTCTGCTAGCTATAAAAACACGAACACTGACCTTCATGTGAGTCCACACCTAAATTCACCGTGTGGCCAGACCTCTTCCCCGT